TGTCATTTTGAAGGAACATTGTCATCTGGTCTTTTTTGGCTTATGCAATGGATATCACCGTGTAATGCTGGTTAATTGGGGTGATCTTTTTTCTTTTTTGTTATTTCAGTAACTTTTTTCCCTAAATTGTTTTTTTGTATTTTCATTTTATACTGGAAATGGTTAACACTGCACTAATTATTCTTATTCTATAATATAACATTAACCTGCTTACATTAACCTTTGGCCTTTCTTGGTTTGTAACTCCAAGAACAGTTTTCTATCAGAAAACTGTACAAAAAACTCTGCTTAGTTCAATTTTTTAAGCGTGATCCTTGATGTCGCAGCTAAAACAGTGATCATTTTTACTTTTAAGTTAATCATGTACTGATACTGAGTCTTGCCTTCTAAAATTTTCATAGTTAGTGAGCAGTAGTATGTTTTCTAATGATTGGGGCACAAGGCAATTGATTCTCAACTTTATTGTGAATTTTGTTTCATGGTAATCAAACGTCCTCTGTTAATTTCAATAATTACTTCGTATTATGCAAACCAATTCCAATAACCATGCATTATACAAAACTTGAACACAAGCCACGATAAAGAATAAATAGTAGGGCAGGTTATTAATGTAAAGTAAATAGATTTCGAGATTGAAGTTAAATTTACAAAACACCGAAACAAACACCCAATCAAAGTAAAATGTACTGTTGGTCAAACTGAGAGGAGTGTTCTAATGTATCGATAGACCCTGCAGCTTTTATTCTTCCCCCTAAGCTCCTGGGAAGAAGAATTAGGATGGTGTACTATATCATGAAGCTTCTTAAATGTGTCATCCTTAATGTTATAGGAGATGATCATATTGGGCCCATAAAACACACCAAAAACACATCTCGTTAATCTTTTCCATGAATTAAGCCAAGCACAGACATTGTTCGCGGTGTGATCATCTCCTTAGATACAAAATTAAGCATCATGTTAAAGTTAATTCGATACTTTAATGACCACTTGGAGTAATCTTTTTCCATCTCTGAGACTTTAATATTAAATTTGGTTCCAAAAACACTGTGCCCAGTAAGATACAGATGACCTCTAGACTCCCCGAATGCCAGAAAAATGGTGAAGATGGCATTGGAAACAATCTTTCTTGATCAACATCGAAGTATTTGGAAGGTTCATCTGGCCAGAAGGAAATCCAATGTATTGAACCATTGCAATAGACTCTATTATCCAAGTCCATCGAGGAGAAAGAATAATGATCACCAAAGGGTCTCCCCCATACATTGGTTTCTGACGAATAAACATGAATTTGATACAAATGACCGTCTTTACGTAATCTCTTGAGCAAAACAACTTTGTAATGAATTGATTTGGAAGGATCAAAAGCCAAATATAGAGGGTCAGGAGGATATGTAGCAAGGGAAATGGGCGAGGGAAATGTCTGTGATTGCTTGGTAGTAGGATTGTAAACTTGGTAAGATCGGGAAAAATAGTTTGGAGTTAAACACAAGAGTAGAAAACCATTGCAGGAGTGTATGATTGTAATACCGACAGTACACATATTGGGAAAGCGAGCTAAAGACTTGTTTTTTCCAATATCATTTGTGTCTTTGAGAGGAATGTATTTGATTTACTTTCGGGGATACAGAGGTGAAGAAAAGACCGGAGATTTTGGGATCATGGGATTGTCATTGTTGAGAGGAATGTATTTGTATGATTGTAGTAGAAAATCAAATCTGATTTTTCTGTTTTTATTTCTAGAACATACACATAAACACAAGAGTGAGTTCATTGAATATTGCATCTACAATGATTAGAGAAGCATATCTATTTCTTATACATCAAATTCAGATCTTGAAGAATAGGGGTAAAACGATTACACTTTGAAAGGGTCAAAGAATTTAAGGAGTGTTGTTTGATCTATCAGCAATCCTTCTACAGAGATCGAGAGTATTAAGACTGAAATCAAGAGCTGTTGGACGGGACGTTGCAAAGCCAGAGTATTGTCAGCAATTAGTATTTGGTAAAATGATAGGGTGTGAGCCTGAGTGAAAATCCATTGTACTTTATTTCCAACATAGTGGATTAGTTTACTTTAGTCCACTGCACAGTCCACGAGATTTTTCTCACAACAATTGGTCTATTCTACCAATTGGGGTTTCCTCGCTAAAAATCACAGTATTATCTCTCAAACTCTATTTGCTTTACTTTACTTTACTTTTATCTTGCATGTGATTAATTAATTAATTGCTAAATTAAGTAAAGCTGATTAAAATAGAAAGACATAGATTTTAATCTTTTCTTAAAAACTTAAACTTTTTACATATATCTTCCGCTGCATAAACTCACAACTGAGATGCTTTAAAGTTTGCAATTGCATTTATGTTATGATGATTCTTAATATTTATTTGTCACTTAAGGCTAGTGTACATAAAGTTTATAAATGACAAATTATACATCTGAATGGGCTTATAGGAGCTTATTCATACAGATAGTCCATTTGGATAATAAAATTGGCTTCCTTAAATAGTTTTTGGAATAACTATTCATAAAGTACTATCATATAAAGATGATTATCTAAGAAAGACAATGATACAATGATACATGGAAGGTAACACTTATTTATAGTGTGATTTCCTTTATGATTTTATACACTGAATTTCTTTAAATAAAGCTTTAGTTCTCAAACCTTTAAAGAAAATAAGTATGTCAATATTGGTCAAGTTGGAAAATGTTAGACACGTGTATTTATTACACGTGATTTGGCTTATATTGCCATAGGCATTCTAACACATATGTTGACCCACGTTATCGTTGACACACATTTTGGGTGTGGTTGTGGGAAGTTGAAGGTGGTTACCATTTTTGAATTAAAATAAAGTAAGGGGTTTGCATGATGGATCACTCTCTCTTGATTTTATCCATGCCGTTCCTTACAGAGGTCCCATGTCTAACAAGTAGCAGTCTGTGTTGTCTCCATCAAGTACACGTATAAAGACTTGCATATGCATGAACATCTTGAGGATTTCTCACTTTGTTTCTCACATTGATTTCTTGATTGGAGGTATGCGATCTAAATTTGGGGCATGATAGTTTCTTTCATTGTGGCCATGGAAATGCTCTTATTGTTGGAAATAGTATGTGCTTCGTTATTTGTCTAAAAACCTTCTTGATTCTAAGCGTCTTTGCTGACTTCCTTGCAATTGATCTGTTTAAAAAAGTGTTGGTTCATGTATTGTGTATTTGTTATGGATATAATTTTCTCAAATTTTCATAGCATGCTCTTCACGGTTGTTTCTGCGCTAAAATCCCTTAACACCTGTTAGTGTATTTCCTCCTGGGACTTTGTCTCACTAGCTCACCTACCATTTTTCAGGTGCCATGATCAAATTGAGAATTGAAGTTGCTGAATTTCACTTAGTGAAGACATTTATGTTCTTGTATATAAGGTGTTTGATTAAATGTTTGTAAAAACTAAATTTTGAGAATTGTGATGTAATTTTGAGATTTTGAACTAAACATGTTCTAATTATATCATTTGTGGACATTTTATGGACTTTTGATTAGGTTTTATATGAGTTGTAGCCTGATTTTGGGATTTGGAACAAACAATAGTTTTTTTTTTTTTTTTTTTGGGTGCTGAGATTCATTAATTTCATGTGGGTGTTGTAGTTCTCCAAATGCTTTTAAATTTTTACCACATGTTCTCCTTTGTATCTAGAGTCCTACGGAAAATTTCGTAATCTTTGGACAACTAATTATTTCTATAAAAATCTGACATTGCTTGTTGTCCGACTTTTATTGGGAATCAGATTTAATTTATTTGATGAACATTTTTACATCTGAAAATGATCAAACCTTCAATATTTTTATTCCTTGGAGTCTACTTTCTAAAAACCAAATCCTTTGATTTTATAAGATTCTTAAATTTTTCAAATGAATGAAGTTTATTGAAAGGTCTATTTCAGCTCATTCTGGATAATCTGTTTACTTCTAAAATCTGATTAAATTGAGAAACATTCAACTTCCATGACTGGCTTAGCCTCGTTGTATTCTGTGTCTAATTTCACAAGAATTTTAGTTTGCCCCATTTTGCTTAAAATTAATTTTTCCACGAATTTTTTATCAACTAATTTGCGCAAAATTCTTTCCAATAGGAGGCTGCCTTTGTGGGCCGCCTCCAGCCATGAATGGAGGGTCTGTTATATTAATTTTGGGGTTGATTGTTACATGATTCATTGTTATTGTTGTGGTCTGAGGATTTCCGAACCATCATTTGTCAAAGCCCCTGTTTCGGGTGTTACAACACAACAACCATAAAATGAAATTTATGGACAAACACTGTCCAAATTGGTGGGAACAACCAGAATTATTGCTACACTGATAAGCTTTTTGAAAGTGCTAAATAATGTGGATTTGTTATACGGTGTTGGATTTGTTGAAGAGAGAGGAGAATTTGTAGCTGCCTGGTTTTGGAAGAAATACATTAATATTATGTTTGGTAGCACCAAATCAATGCTTTGGGTTTGAAATTTAAGTATATTATTTTTTTTTTTATCAATGCTTTGGGTTTGAAATTTAAGTATATTATTTTTTTTTTCAATTCCAAATTCAAAGTGTCGATTTGGTATTGCCAAACATAGCATAAAGGGTCAGCATAAAGGGTTCCATCTAATTCGAGCTCTGTTGCATGGAGGAAATGCATTGCTGTCAACGATGTTTTGGTGCAAGATGTGGGATTTCCGATCCGTACAGGGAATGAGTTCATCATTTTTCTTGATCCTTGGTATAATGGTAAGACTTCATTGTGAATTCTCTTTCATGGTAATAAAATTTCCTCTGTTAATTTCAATATTTACTTCGTATTATGCAAACCAGTTCCAATAAGGGGCATGCATTATACAAAACTTGAACACAAGCCACAATAAAAAGTAAATAGTAGAACAGATTATTAATGTAAAGTAAATAGATTTCGAGATTGAAGTTGAAGTTACAAAACACTGAAACAAACACCCAGTTGGTCAAACTGAGAGGACTGTCTCAATGTATCGATAGACTCTGCAGCTTTTAAACTGCCTAAGCTGCTGGGAAGAAGAACCAGGATGGTGTACTACATCATGAAACTTCTTAAATGTGTCATCCTTAATGTTATAGGAGATGATCATATTGGTGCCCACAAATAACACCAAAAACACATCTCCTTCATCTTTTCCATGAATTAAGCCAAGCACAGACATTGTTCGCAGTGCGATCATCTCCTGTGATACAAAATTAAGCATCATGTTAAAGTTAAGTCGATACTTCAATGACCACTTGGAGTAATCTCTTTCCATCTCTAAGACTTCAATATCAAATATGGTGCCAAAAACACTGCGCCCAGTAAGATACAAATGACCTCTGGACTCCCCGAAATGCCAGAATCCATCAATTTCCGGAAATGGTGAAGATGGCATTGGAAACACTCTTTCTTGTTCAACATCAAAGTATTTGGAAGGTTCATCTGTCCAGAAGGAAATCCAATGTATTGAACCATTGCAATAGACTCCATTATCCAAGTCCACTGAGGAGAAAGAATAATGATCACCAGAGGGTCTACGCCATGCATTGGTTTCTGACGAATAAACATGAATTTGATACAAACGATGGCCCTTGTGTAATTTCTTGAGCAAAACAACTTTGTAATGAATTGATTTGGAAGGATCAAAGGCCAAATATAGAGGGTCAGCAGGATATGTAGCAAGGGAAAAGGGCCAGGGAAGTGTTTGGGATTGCTTGGTAGTAGGATTGTAAACTTGGTAAGATCGGGACAGGGAAGTGTTTGGATTTAAACACAAGAGTAGAAAACCATTGCAGGAGTGTATGATTCTAATATCCACAGTATACATATTGGGAAAGCGAGCTAAAGACTTGCTTTTTCCAACATCATCTGTGTCTTTGAGAGGAATGTATTTGATTTGCTTTCGGGATACAGAGGTGAAGAAAAGACCGGAGATTTTGGGATCATGGGAATGTCGTTGACGCTGTTGCCAGAGGAGAGGGAAAGTAGGACCGGAGATTAGAGAGAACCATGTTTTCGAGACGGACTTGAATCGAACCACAGATTTCAGCGGCAGAAGCACAAGGATCTCCACCACCAGGTCCCCGTTACTGCCAATGATTTCAGCAGCGGCAGACCGTCTCTGTGCATTCCGGCACCTTTTAATCCTCAAACCCATCAACAAAGTTGGATTCACTTCAGACTTGTTCCTCTCTTTGGATGGTTCTACTTAAACACCTATATAGGCAAAATAACAAATCCTAATACAATTCGGTAAAGTGTAGAAACCGAGAGAACGCCGGCGAAGCTGATCGGAATAGACAATACAGCAACCGGCAGATCTAACCAGAATAGAAGAGCGTGGGGTAGGTGGTGGCTGAGATATTGTCAAAAATTACAATTTGGAAACCTAGGAATTATTATGATATATATAGGGCCGGCCCTGGCCCAAGGCGACCAAGGCGGTCGCCTTGGGCCTCAGATTTTAGAGGGCCTGGATGTAAAAAATAAAAAATAAAAATAAAGTTAGGGCAAGTTTCAGACGACACAATCTGCTTTGACACTCCGCAGGGCGCAGCCTCCGCTGTCGCCTCAGGTGACAAGGTATGTTTCCTCTCTCTCTCTTCTCTTCTCTCTCCTTTTGCATGAATTGATCTTTTATAGATGTTTCTTTCTTTCGTTTTCGTTCATCTCCTCATTTGATTTGTTCTAACTTTGATTCGTTTGATTCGGGCCTTTACCTTTGTTCCAATAGTGAAAAGTAGCTAGGGTTTTGTGTGTGTCACAGTGTGTGATTGCTATCAAAAGCTGAATGAAATGTCTGCCTTTCTACATGTGTCTTTCATGGCGATCGAGTATCTCTGGCAGGTACTCTTTTTTTTCCTCTCCCTAAGTCCACTCCAATCTCACAATAGCAGCAATCATACCCCTTTTCCTCATAATTTTTTGCATTTTCACATTCAATCATCCCTTACGGGGGTTGAGGTAATAATCAAATTATGCTCAGATTTAAAAGTGCCAAATTAAGGGTTTTTTATTTTTATTTTATTTTACACAGCTTAGATTCTCGTTTTGGCAAGTACAAAACCCATACCACTGGCTCCTTTATCGGATGTCTCAAATTAATTAGGCAAAAATATAATGTAAATTTCCTGAACTATTTTAAAATTATAGTAAACCCCCTTGGATTATTCTTATTACATTGTGTCTGTTCCACCATCGGATGTCTCAAATTAATTAGGCAAAAATATAATGTAAATTCCTTGAACTATTTTAAAATTATAGTAAAACCCCTTGTATTATTCTTATTACATATGACACCCTAATCTATCAAAAAGTTACAATATGACCCCATCAGGTAGGGATGGCAACGGGGACGGGTTTGGGCGAGTGTACACCCCCCGCCCCCGTAACTAATTAGAAACCCCCGCCCCTGTCCCCGCCCAAAACCGTAAAAGGGAGGGGACTTTCCATCCCATTCCCGCCCTCGCTTAACATTTTTACCCTGTGGGTACCCGCGCTGCCCGTTTAAAAACCCTACCCCCTTTAAGACCAAAATTTCTCCTTCATTTAATTTTTTTATCAACTAAAATTTATATAATTATTAAAAAGATTCATTAAAAAAATGGGCAATAAATAGTTACTTCAATATTAAAAATATTCTATACTAGCAATTTCATAAAAAAATAACATACCAAAACAAAACAAGCCAAATTACATTGTTCCAAATTGACTTTTAAAAGAGTTTTAATTAAAAAAAAAAAAAAAAAAAAAAAAAAAAAAAGATAGTTCATTACATAGTGGCAAAAAATTATCAGAAAATTTAGATTTCAAAACAATCTTCTCATAAGTTTCTTCATGAGTCTCCATAGTTGCACAATTTCTTCAACATGGGTAGGCACCGCTGAGAGTAATGATGTGAATGAGAGAGTTAAGAAAACCTAGGGTTTCTAATGGGAAATAATAAATATATATAATAATCAAATAAGGGTAGTTAAGTAATTTCTATATCTAAATGGGGCGGGGCGACCTCCCCCTGCCACCACACCAAACCCGCATGGGTTTTTGATATATCAAACCATCCCCGCCTAAATTAGCTAAACGGTCCCCCAAAATAGCAAAAAATGGGGCGGGGCAGGGCGGGTAACCGCGGGGAAGGATGTCAATTTTTGAGGGTCAAAATTACTTATTTACCCTCACTTATTTATTTATTGTAAAAGCTATAAGATATCAGAATTGAAAAATACCAATAATGCCCTTCACGAAGGCATCTTGCAATTAACCAAAGTTCTAATTTTTTTTTTGGCCTAATAATAATAATAACAATACTAAAAATAGTAATAATAATAATACTAATAATTATATCAATAAGAATAATAGTAGTAGTAATAATAATAAAAATAAAAATAATAGTAGTTAGCGCTTTAGGCATCTTCTACTGAGTCTCCGTGATCACCGCTTCTTTTAACATTTTTCAGGTCACGGCAATGATTTTATTGATGACGGATCCTCACAAGTATAGTTAAGATTGACGGGAGCATCTTCCGATAATTTTGTAACTAATGCATAGTTAATGATGATCATTTGTATAGTATTATATTTAGGACCTTAAGGATCACAAAAGTATATCAATATTCAATTGGGTTTGCTTTTGATGTATCTTGAGCATGTAATGATAACTAAACTTATTCATTATCAAAGTTGTAATTTTGGAAACGAAGGAATGTTTAATAATGCATCCTAACCTTGTAAATCCAATGTAAGACTTTGTTAATTGATTATTTATTCATGCTTGTGAGTCGGGACAGGGGTACTATGGTCAAAATGATCAAATTGTTGTTCGGGGATAGGATCGAAGTCGAGAAAGGGGCAAAAAGAAATTTTTGGACTCCTCCGAGGGTAATACTGTCATTTTGAAGGAATGGATATCACCGTGTGATGGTCAACTGGGGTGATCTTTTTTCCATTTTCTTATTTTAAGTAACTTTTTTCCCCGAATTGTTTTTTGTATTTTCTTTTTATACTGGAAATGGTTAACACTGCACTAATTATTCTTATTCTATAATATAACATTAACCTGCTTACATTAACTTTCGGCCTTTGCATGGCTTGTAATTCCAATAATAGTTTTTTATCATAAAACTGTACAAAAAAAAAAATCTACTTGGTTCAATTTTTTAAAAATTCAATTATAAAAAGACCTATTTTCAGATAATTGTCTTTTATTGTTCTCTGAAAAATATTTGCTGTTATGAATTCTTTTTATTATTATCTGAAAACTGTTTTTTGTTCTAAATTCTTAAGAATTATTTTCTGAAAAATAGTTATGAATTTTTAAAAATTGTTTTCAGAGTTACAAATCATGCAAACCCGAAGTTTTTTAAAAGCATAATCCTTGATGTAGTAGATAAAGAAAAGATTTTCTTCCCCACCAATGAGACAATAAAAAGTAAATAGTAGGCCAAGCTATTAATGTAAAGTAAATAGATTGCAAGATTGAAGTTAAGGTTACAAAACACTGAAACAAACACCCAATCAAAATAAAATGTACTGTTGGTCAAACTGAGAGGAGTGTCTCAATGTATCGATAGACCCTGCAGCTTTTATACTGCCTAAGCTCCTGGGAAGAAGAACCAGGATGGTGTACTACATCATCAAGCTTCTTAAATGTGTCATTTTTGATGTTATAGGAGATGATCATATTGGTGCCCACAAAACACACCAAAAACACATCTCGTTCATCTTTTCCATGAATTAAGCCAAGCACAGACAGTGTTCGCGGTGCGATCATCTCCTTAGATACAAAATTAAGCATCATGTTAAAGTTAATTCGATACTTCAATGACCACTTAGAGTAATCTCTTTCCATCTCTGAGACTTCAATATCAAATTTGGTTCCAAAAACACTGTGCCCAGTAAGATACAGATGACCTCTAGACTCCCCGAAATGCCAGAAAAATGGTGAAGATGGCATTGGAAACAATCTTTCTTGATCAACATCAAAGTATTTGGAAGGTTCATCTGGCCAGAAGGAAATCCAATGTATTGAACCATTGCAATAGACTCCATTATCCAAGTCCACTGAGGAGAAAGAATAATGATCACCAGAGGGTCTCCCCCATGCATTGGTTTCTGACGAATAAACATGAATTTGATACAAATGATCGTCTTCGCGTAATCTGTCGAGCAAAACAACTTTGTAATGAATTGATTTGGAAGGATCAAAAGCCATATATAGAGGGTCAGGAGGATATGTAGCAAGGGAAATGGGCGAGGGAAGCGTCCGGGATTGCTTGGTAGTAGGATTGTAAACTTGGTAAGATCGGGACATATGGTTTGGATTTAAACACAAGAGTAGAAAACCATTGCAGGAGTCTATGATTGTAATATCGACAGTATACATATTGGGAAAGCAAGCTAATGACTTGCTTTTTCCAACATCATCTGTGTCTTTGAGAGGAATGTATTTGATTTGCTTTCGGGATACAGAGGTGAAGAAAAGACCGGAGATTTTGGGATCATGGGATTGTCGTTGTTGACGCTGTCGCCAGAGGAGAGGGAAAGACCGGAGATTAGAGAGAACCATGTTTTCGACACCGACTTGAATCGAAAGACAGATTTCAGCGGCAGAAGCACAAGGATCTCCACGACCAGGTCGTGGTTATTGCCAATTATTTCAGCAGCGGCAGAGGAAAATTGGGCCGACGACGGCCTCTGTGCATTATGGCACCTTCTAATCCTAAAAGCCATTACTCGTTGAATCGACTTCAGACTTGTTCCTCTCTTTGGATGGTTCTAATTAAAGACTTATATAGGCAAAATAACAAATCGTAATACAATTCGGTTAAGTGTGAAATCCTAATACAACACTGACAGCCTAAAAATAAAATAAATTTATTTAACTTATAAACACAATAAATAATTAGTAAGATAAGATTTAGCCTGTTAAAATGGCGGTTGATGATGCAAACCTCATCACCCACGGCCAAGACGATCGGGACCAGATCTGATCAGAACACAAGGGAAACGGCGATGCAGGTAGAAAGCTGTCTTCTTTGCTCGCGTCTGTGGAGAAACAGAGACACCGCCGGCGAAGCGGGTCGGAATAGACAATCGGTAAGTATAAAAAACCGGCACCGGCGGATCAGGGAAACGGCGAGAAAGGTAGAAAGTTGTGGTCTTTGCTCAAGTCTGTGGAGAAACCGAGAGAACGCCGGCGAGCTGATCGGAATAGACAATACAGCAACCGGCGGATCTTACCAGAAGATAAGAGCGTGGGGTTGGCTGACATATTGATCCAACGGCCCAAACCAAAACGATCTTACACAGCTTAGATTCTCGTTTTGGCAAGTACAAAACTCATACCACTGTTCCTCTATCGGATGTCTCAAATTAATTAGGCAAAAATATAATGTAAATTCCTGAACTATTTTAAAATTATAGTAAACCCCCTTGGATTATTCTTATTACATATCACACCCTAATCTATCAAAAAGTTACAATGTGACCCTGACCTGACGTTACTTATTTACCCTCACTTGTTTACTTATTGTAAAAGTTATAAGATATCAGAATTGAAAAATACTTAAAAACTTAAAAGTTTCTCAAGAAATCCATTCACCATCAATATAAGTCATATTTGCAATTCAATAAGAAATAGACCATGCGATTGGCTCCATTCGCCATCTATATCAGTCATACCTGTAATGTAATACCAAACAATTGAACAAAAAATCACAGTTCCCAAAAAAAAAAAAAATTCGTCTTAATAGTACGAGGATCTTACAGAGATGTCAGGGTTCGAATCTCAGTGGAAGTAGTGTGTGTGAGTCCCAACTAAAAATAAAATAAAATTAGGTCTAAGCATGAGTCACTGGATGGTTCATCATGGGGGAATGATTGGTGCTACATGGTTATCTATGTATTTTACAAGAGTACTAGTACAAGACATTTAGGGTGTGTTTGGTAGGGTTGATTTGGAGGGATAGGGAGAGAAAAAAAATAAAGGATAGTGTAAGTTTGTGTTTGGGTAAGTTAAGTGGAGTGATAGGGAGAGATAAGGAGAGATAGGGAGGGATGGCTATCCCTCATTATCTCTTATTTGCTTTCTCTTCAATTTTGAGAAGATAGGGAGAGAAAGAATAGTGATTTTAGTGGTATTTTGATAATACCAAAATTAGCCTTCACAAATCAATATATAGATTTATTATTCCATTCAAGTCCTATAGTTATGAAAGGGTAAAAAAGTAATTTGTCTACTATCATTTCTTTTCTTTTCTCTCCTCTATCTTATCCAAACAAGAATAACTATCCTTTTTTTTCTTTTCTCCCCTATTTATCCAAACACAAATAGAAATTATTGCTATCCTTTCTTTTCTCACTAATACAATCCTTTCTTTTCTTTTCTTTTCTCTCATAACTAATATTAGGTTATGTTTAGCAGGGTTGATTTGGAGGGATAGGGAGAGAAAAGAAAAGAGAGGATAGTGTAAGTTTGTGTTTGGGTAAATTAAGTGGAGGGATAGGGAGGGATAGGGAGAGATAGGGAGGGATAGCTATCCCTTCTTATCTCTTATTTGCTTTCCTTCAAGTTTGAGAAGATAGGGAGAAAAAGCATAGTGATTTTAAGTAGTATTTTGATAATACCAAAATTAGCCTCCACAAATCAATATACAGGTTTATTATTCCATTCAAGTCCCATGATTATAAAAGGGTAAAAAAATAATTTGTTTACTATCATTTCTTTTCTTTTCTCTCCTCTATTTTATCCAAATAAGAATAAGTATCATTTCTTTTCTTTTCTCCCCTATCTATCCAAACACTAATAGAAAATTATTACTATCATTTCATTTCTTTTCTTTTCTCTCATGACTAATACTATTCTTTCTTTTCTTTTCTCCCCTGTCTATCCAAACACACCCTTAGTGGCATGGAGGATTTAAATTAATTAAGCTAACCGACATACATAATCAAGTCTTTCTGGTAGCTCAGATTTCGGTGTTTTGAATTCAAAACACCGAATTGGTGCTCCCAAACATAATCCTAGAAGTCCCCTCTGGCTGCCACTGGGATGTTAAATATGCAGGAAGGGAGATCACCAAGAAGCTGACACATTACGTCTCCTGGTGTGTCTCAGCAACTGAAAGAACAACTAGAAGATTTATATACTGGACCGTGACTGGATTACACACAATAACAGGGTCATTACAAAACGATGGATAAGACAACAAAGGATCCCAGAAACTATTGCATGAATTCAAAATTTCAATTTTTTTATGTTCTGATGAAAGGTTCCCTTTCAATCTCTGATCTAGTGAGGCAACCGATTTGGGCACCACCATTTTTATTGTTGAGCACCATTTCAAAGTTGCGCAATGGGATCTTTAGTTTGGTTTCAAGATTCATGCCAGGTCTTTTCTTTGGTGTTTTCGTAATGAAAATAATGACCTTGAGAAGACGAAAGGTGTATTAGCCTTAATGAATCACAAAATAATGAAAATAATGAAGAGAAAACATAATATCAAAACCTAACCAGTCGAAACTTCTTTTGGTAAATTGCTAATTCGATCTCTATCAGAGTCCAGGAATGGACTTACAACTACTCTTTCATCTTCAACGTCATCTCCTTGCTCACCATCTAGTACGGGAACTTTGCTCTTCATAATCTATGTGAACTAATGAGGTGTTGTGATTTGTGAAGATGAAAATTTTGGACTCCCATACATGTCCATTTATAGCTTTTCTTTTAGGGTTTTTGCTTCCCTTTTTGGCAGATTGAGTATATATATATGGTAGGTCCGAAAATAAAAGTATATATGGTAGGTTGGTTAAACGGTATTAATTTGTCATGAGAGATGCTAATCACAGTTGCCCCCTCGACTGTAGAATCTCAGTCGCTAGTTGAGGGGTTGACGCGTGTGTTTTCTTTTCCAATAATTAATTATTATTTTTCTGCTAACCTTTTGGGTCTCCCATTATATATAATTACTAAACTAGTCTCCTAACTGAGAAACTTCATAAACCTCCACGATTCTATCTCTTTAAAATTATATTTTTTACAAAATTGCATATTTAAATGTTTGAAATTCCTGTTAGGATATGTGTGCCCTAGCATAGCAAATTCTAATTTTGGATTGTAAAAGTCATGGTTTCTTATCTGGATATTATTATTAAAGCATTATACAATTGGTGAATGGAATGTATTATTTTTCAATTCATTATGGAATTGATTGTGTCCGCTTGATTATAAAATATATTTATATATGTATGTAATGACAATTAATGCTATGTTATAAATTAGTAATCATAAATGGTTTAAAGTCGATAATTATGGATGAATATTTCATTAGTTAAGATTTAAACCGAGTCCACGATAGATTGAGATATATTGCGAGAGCTGTCGTATGCAGTTGCTCTCTATCACAGTCATGATTTTTGACTCTCAAGCATGAGAGAAGTATAGACTCTTTTATTAATTAATAATTACTTTGATTTGTTCGGCGGATACCTCGGGATCCTTAGATCGACACTTTGGGTAGTTATGTAATTAATAATTAGAGGTCTATAGTCTCAATATTTGCATCAGTATTATTTGTATTTATTTTGTTTTGATTATGGTTGATCACAAATTAAATTTGAAGGCCTTCGTATGTTTTAGACAAATGTTTTCTATATATATTTATTTACTAAATTATTATTATTTTTTGTCAAATAAATATTTTATTGTGATCGAGCCGGAAATAATCAAAGGTAACAAAATAATTATATTAATTATGTTGTCGGATTGATGACTTTAATTATCTGATAAATAATGAAGCATAGAGGGGTCAAAGTGCAACATTGACTTAGAGGTTATTTACTATTTAATTGGAGTGCAATTAATTTCTTTTAGTGGAGTAGAAATTAATTTATGAATTAATTGAATTGGGTCCATGGTTTAATGACCGGACCAATTATTAATTTATAGGAGCCAAGAAAATAGTAAGCCCAAAAGGATTCTCACCAATAGCCCAAGTTGATATTGGAGTCGTGTTAGAATTGAGAAAGTTGAATTAGAGATGGAGAATGATTTATTGTTTCCTTATTCTTATTTTTATTTTGCCTATATATACATGAGTTCATGTATATTTTAGGTGTGACTTTAGAACAAGAAAAAGGAATACACTTTCTCTCTCTAGATTTTAGAGTTTTGTTTTCTCTTCTAAAGGAGGCTACCACAAGCCTAGATTCCAA